AACCGTCATTAAATAGGAGTCGGTGGACAAGGGGCTGAATTTTTGATTGCGTGATTGCAGGGCTGCTGCAGTGGCTGGAAATGTGATAAATGGTCATGTCCCTTTTTTCACCACCGTTGTAGCTTTGAAGGATCACTAAATGAACTGTTGTAAGTCGAGGACGACCTCCTTCCCCTGCTTCTCTTTCCCATTCCCTACCATCCTTATTTCGTTTGTATTTTATATTATGATTTAATATCTATGGAGATTCTCAGTCATCCAGATCATGGTTCTTCCAAAGGTGCTTTTTCAAGAGGCAACTGGACTTTTTGGTTTTTTCTTTTGAAGATGTTTTGCTTCTCATCCAAGAAGCTTCTTCATCTCTGACTGGATGGTGGGGAAATGGAAGGATTTATATTCCTTGCAGATTTATATTCCTTGCAAATAACCAGCTGTCTGCAAGGAGTATCAATGCTTCCATTTCCCCACTATCCAGTCAGAGCTGAAGAAGCTTCTTGGATGAGAAACAAAATGTCTTCAAAAGAAAAAACAGAAAGTCCAGTTGCCTCTTGAAAAAAAGCACCCTTGGGACAACCATGATCTGGAGGACTGAGAATCTCCATAGATATTATTATTATTATTATTTTAATTCATAGATATTAAACATCGAGGACCTGTATATTGCACAAGTCAAAAAGAGGGCTGTGAAAATATTTACAGACCCCTCACATCCTGGACATAAACTGTTTCAACTCCTACCCTCAAAATGACGCTATAGGGCACTGCACACCAGAACAACCAGACACAAGGACAGTTTTTTTCCCCAAAAGCCATCACTCTGCTAAACAAATAATTCCCTCAACACTGTCCAACTATTTACTAAGTCTGTACTACTATTACTATTAATCTTCTCATCACTCCTTATCACCCATCCCCTCCCACTTGTGACTGTACGACTGTAACTTTGTCGCTTGTATCCTAACGGTTTATATGGACTGTTTCCTAGTATGATTTGATTGCTTATTGTACCCTATGACTATTATTAAGTGTTGTACCTGATGATTCTTGACTCTTGACGAATGTCTCTTTTCTTTATGTATACTGAGAGCATTTGCACTAAGACAAATTCCTTGTGTGTCCAATCACACTTGGCCAATAAAGAATTTATTCTATTCTATTCTATTCTATTCTATTCTATTCTATTCTATTCTATTCTATTCTTGGATGAGAAGTGAAACGTCTTCAAAGAAAAACCAGAAAGTCTTAGTTGCCTCTTGGGGGGAAAAAAAAGCACCTTTGGGACAACCATGGCCTGGAGGACAGAGCATCTCCATAAACACTGGAATGAATGTAAAAATTCATGGTGGTTCAAAGGAACCTATTCATGGTTGTGGGAAACTTGATTCCCACAAACTGAATGGGGCAGAGGTGGTATTCAGCAGGTTCTGACCAGTTCTGGAGAACCAGTAATGGACATTTTGAGTAGTTCGGAGAACTGGCAAATACCATCTCGGACTGGAGATTTTACAGTATTCTTCTCCTGCCACGCCCACCAAGCCACGCCCACAGAACCAATAGTAAAAAAATTTGAATCCCACCACTGGAATGAGGCCATTGCCTTAATTAAGGCCTGCAGGCTTGAAGTGAGCCTGGCCACACACTGGCCAGGCATTTTGGAGGGTGGAGGCTGTGCCTTTTTTGATATAAAACCCCCAAGAAGTATTTGTTGGAGGTGCAAGAAAGAGGTTGGAACATGTGGTGGGATTGTGATAGTGCACAAAAAATATGGGATATAGTGTTTAGGGAAATTATAGCACTTTTGATTGTAAATTTAGATACGTCACCGAGAATTGTATTACTGTTACTGGTGGAAAAATGGGATATAAATGAAACAAAAAAGGAATTGATTGTAAATTTGATAATGGCAGCTAGATTAGTGAACGGTAAATAGGGGGGACGAAATTGGGATATTCAAAGAAATGACTGGTATAATGAAATTTGGTGTATGGCAATAATTGATAAATTAACAACAGAAATTAAATTTTAAAAAGGGATGATTAAAACAAACAATTTTAATAAAATATTGGGGGAAGTGTGGGTGGAAGGCAAAGTGAATAAACCTACTCAACAATATATGTCATTTTGGAGGGGATAAGGGCATAATTGGAATATATAGTAAATTTTTAAATTGTTATGGAAGAAGAAATATAAGGGAAAAATGGTCTCGGGGGGGGGGGGGGGCGGTGCACTGTAATATTTGTATTTTTCTTCTTTTTCTTTTTGTATTTAAATGTATATGTACTATGTATTATTTGTATTTAAAATAAAAATATTAATTTAAAAAAATCAAATCAATTTATCAATTAATAAAAACGTAATTAACTTAATGTAAGAAGAAACCTAAATCAATTCTTTTGGTTATACTATTAGTTACTGTTATTATACCATTATTATTGCTATTAGTTTGTATGTTGAGATTTATTACTAACCAGTGGTGGGATTCAAAAAAATTAACTAATGGTTCTGTGGGAGTAGCTTGGTGGGTGTGGAAAGGCTTGGTAGGCGTGGCTTGGTGGCTGTGGCAGGGGAAGGACACTGTAAAATCCCATTCCCTCCCCATCCCACTGACCTGCTTTCCAGCTCTGTTCTCCTGTGTAGGGCAACAAAAGAAGAGCCAGCCAATCAGCTGGGACTCGGGAGGCAGAGAAGAGATGGGGGCAGGGCCAGTTCTCCAAACCAGCGGTCGCCAACCGGTGGGCCACGACCCACTGGTGGGCCGTGAGAAAATTTTGGTGGGCCGCAGAAAAATCTCACCCCCAGAGCACCCCCACAAAGCAATTAATCTAAGCTGTGCAGAAACACAAGGCTGCGCCGGCCACATGGCCCGTGGGGAACCCTCCCCGCCCACTCACTCCTTACCTGGTAAACTTGCCTGCTAAATTGCTATTTTTCCTTTTTCCGACCATCATCTGTTCTGCTGTGCCGGGAGATTTAGATTAGCTAGGAAGCAGGAAATCGTTGGATTTCCTGCTTTCTAGCTAGTCTTTAGATCTTCAGCTCAGCACAGCCAAACCTCCCTTAGGACTGAAAGTTTGCTTGCAAGCAAATTCAGTGCAGGCTCACGGCAAGCAAATTTGAGAGACTGAGCTAGCCGATGGCAGATAGATAGATCACTGAATGATTCTGTGAGCAACTCAATCTGCCTGCCTGCTTTGCTTGATTTTGGGTAAAAGTTGCTCTTTTTTTAAATAAAAAATTCAATATTTACATGCATGGTGTGTTGTGAGTTAATTTTGTGAGTTTGCTTGCAAGCAAATTTTATGTGACAGACTGAGCTAGCCAATGGCAGATAGATAGATATCTGAATGATTCTGTGATTCTGTGAGCAACTCGATCTGCCTGCCTGCATTGCCTGATTTTGGGTAAAAGTTGCTCTTTTTTTAAATAAAAAATTCAATATTTATATAAATATTTATAATATTTATATACAAGCCATGCCCAGCCAGTCACATGACCAAGCCACACCCACAAATCAGGCCACACCCACAGAACTGGTTAGTGGTCCCTGGGATCTAAAATTATGAGTTTGGTGGTCCCTGAGGTCCAAAAGGTTGGCGACCTCTTCTCCAAACTACTCAAAATTTCCGCTACCAGTTCTCCAGAACTGGTCAGAACCTGCTGAATACCACTTCTGTTACCAACGTATGTTGCTTGTGTTTTATTTGTAAGTAATGCTCTGCCAATGCAGTGTTATTCAAAAATGTTGATGAATGTTTATGAATGTTATTCAAAAATGTTTACGAAGAAAATTAAAAAAAAAAAATCAAATCAAAACCCTCAGGAAGCCAGGTGGCCCGGGAAAACGTGCCTGGATCAGCACAGGAAGAGAAACGTGCAAGATTTTGGGAGAAGGTGGTGGTGGGGTCCCTTCAGGCGTATGCACCACCCTGGATCAACCTCGGCTGCCTTAAGGCAATCCAGAAACCCTTGAGATCAATCAAACGCGGCACTCTCCTAGCTGGGACATGCAATGTTGTGACGAACCCAGTTTGGCAGCTCTCCCAAACGTCAGTCAACCTGGGCTGAGTTTAGGGAGAGGCTGCTTCATGAACACAGGCAGGGTACCCTTCCCTCCGTTAGCGCCTCTAGTCGGATCCTGGGAATCGAGTCGTGAGCCAGAAAACAGGATTTGGGAAATTTACATCCACGTCTTTGCATCCCAAAAGAGGAGTGGAGTCTTGGGCTCTTGGAGAGCTAACTATGGGTTCCCTCGCTAGGGTAGGCTGGGAAGGTTGATTCTGAATATGATTCCCACCAAATTACGCAATTATAAAAGCATAATGTTGTTTCTCTATCTCAGCAACTTTTAAGACGGATGGACTTCAGCTCCCAGAATTCATCCAGAGTTCTAGCAACTTTGGCCACGTCAGGTCTTTTAAAGAAAGCATTTGTAGAAGAAACAGCTGGAAGGGACAATGGGCCAGACCTTGGTTTGAATACTCCTGGAAAAGCCCAATTCTGTGGTCCGAACAATCCAGAGAAACCCCTGTCCCACAGTAAAATTCCCCGTCATGCAACACAATTTCTTCAGATTCTGATTTTAAGCCATCTTACACCTTTCTGTGAGTCAGGGTCTATAGAAAGTTGTTAAATAAATTTAAGGAGCCAGTTTGGTCTAGTGGTTATGGCATCAGGTTAAAAACTAAGAGACAAGAGTTGAAAGCCAGGTGGGTGAATTTGAGCCAATCACCAGGAGACTATGAGTTCTAGTCCCGCCTTAGGCAGGAAAGCCAGCTGGGTGACTT